TGGACTACTCGGCCTGGAAGTCTTTCCACTTCTTAGCATCAGCCGTGGCATAAACGTCCAGTCGATCACCATTTGAGAAGTTTAATGACCAGGCGCCACGGTGTGCCACGAAAAATCCGAGAAAATTGAGAGGAAACTGAGCGCAGCCCACATTTTTTGTATATGCTAGCCTATAACGGGATTATTTCAACACTCCATATTCCGAAGGGGACAGGATGCGTTTTGTGGGATATTTCATTGTGAGACCACTGTCGTCCTTCCGTGGCTGGAGAGATAAATGATTACAGTTTTTCCAAAACAGCAATATTCCACCAAAAAGTCAATCGCTCCACTTCTAATTTCACAGTCACACCCTCCCTGGCTTCCGGATATGGATATGTTATCTGTGCGAGATGGAGTCACCGGTACAGTGCACGACGATTCCGGCGGCAAGTGATTTTCATGTAGGTTTTGCAATGTTTTTCGATGATATACACTCGAAATCCCTGGGATGAGGTAGGCGTGGCTGCGTACTTCAACTATCCGTGGAGGTGGTCATGCTTTTGGAGAGACATTTCCATTTTGGCACAATCGGGGTTGCGTCTCTGTCCAACACAGAAAAAAAACAGTTGTTTCAAACTGAAATATCCCACGAGCAACCCATTCTATGCAGTGCTCAAAGGCCACGCCTACTCCGCCTCAGGGATAAGGAGTGTATGTACAACCTGTGAAAACCCAATCCATCCCTCAGATTTGCTTTGCGTTCCCCTCAGTTGGGAGTTGAAAGATGAATCCCTCGCGCTTTTGAACATGTGGAGCATCACCGTAGTACTCGCGAAGAAATCAATTAGACTTGAAGCCTTTGTACAACAGAACGTAAACGCATTACATACTCGAATGCATATGGCACCATAATTTAGTACTCGGTCTAAAATGCTAGCAGGTGCTATATAGTGGGAAAAGCGGCGAAAAAACGATGTAAAACGGTCAAACACTTGCGGAGAAAGGCCTTCGTTCTTCATGACTCGCAATTTCGGACGAGTTTTCCATAGGCATCTTGCCAATACCCGCTGCGGTGGATACGGCTCATATATCCGTGCAGCACCTCACGCATCGCTTCATATTTCACTTTCATTACATTTATTAATTTTTCTTTTCACTTTTCATTTTTTTTTTTTTTTCGTTTTTTCATTTACACTTATTTCACTTTCGCAAATGAAGCCATGCGAGCATCAGGTCGTCCATTTGGGGGCGGCGGGCGTGCTGGGCGTGGTTTGCTTGATAGGGCAGCGCCTGCTTATGGGCGCGGAATTCCGAACTGGCAGACGTATTAATCCTGCTCGTCTTGGGAATTTATAGTGCAACTGCCTTTAACTGCTGAACGCAATCAGCGCGCGTCATGAGTACAGTTTCGTTTTGTATTTTGAGGGGCGACTGAAGGCTTAGTGGCCACACGAATTTTGGTAAAATTTCAGGCATCTGTGAAGAATATTTGCGGTAGTGCCTCGTGATCAGAATACGCTTTCTTCACTATGAGCTGGCCGCAGCACAACAAAGACACGCTCAACTCTCGTCGGATGTTCGTCTTCCCCAATGATCTTCCTTCTGATCCCCGAACTCTCTCGATAACCATGTTGCGGAATTCTAGGGTAGGCAATCCCCACTACGAGTGGATCTCCTCCAATCAGTCTACCAACCCCTTGCCAGCCTTAGTTCACTTTTCCCCCTATCTAGACTGCTCTGAACTATGAATTTTTGTCAGCGTCATCGCTCACTTTTAGCGCATGCTCCGCCCACTGTAGGCGGGGTTAGCATAGATCACGCGTGGTCTATACATCTTAACCTATGTCCTATGCCCACTTCGAACTAACTCCTCCAAAGGTAGAACTGAATTTCCAGACAAACAAGCAAAGAAGGAAGCAAATAAACTCTGTTGCTTCGACGCCTTTTTTTTGCCTTTCAGTTTGAATTCTATTTTTGTGGTTGACTTCTCCCAGATTGCTGCTTTTTGAAAAGGGTTATCTCAGAGGTTGACGTTCAGTGCACCGATCGAGCTGTGCAGCCTGAGCGTGGGCCCGCCTACACTGGGCGGGGCATGCGCTAAAAGCAGCCTGCGCGGCAATACTTTTCGTCTCTGTGCTATGAAAACCTTTCAATCCCTTATCACTAAAACAATAAACTCAAACGACAAATATATTCTTTGCACATAAGCATCTTTCTACAATGACTTGACATGAATATGATAATGATATGATAAAGACAAACATTTGCTCTTCTGTGCTTCACAGAAGAAAGATGAAAAGGTGGATACGAGCAAGAAATGCAAAGAAATGCTTTCGAGAGGGAATGGAATGCATCCGGAAAAATACAATATTCAACAGAAACACAGAAACAATGTACAAAATAAAATCATCACAATGGAGCACATGATATTTCTCCGTGATTAGGGACCTCACGGAGATCGACCCAGAGAATCTCATATGTTCAGCGATGGCAATCCAAGAACCGATCTGCGCGGCGCATTTGTGGGGACGGGGGAAACAGTATGGTACAGTGAAGATGGCTGGCAGATGATAGGATGATGATTGGCATTTCTGGAAACCCTTTGCGGGCTTGTCATGATGGGACAAGGTGTGGTCACCTCTCCTGGGACCAGGCCCATGAAGGTTTTAGTCGTCGTTGAACGGCATCAATGTGTGCCATTGGGCCACAGACCGTCTCGGCGTCGCCAGCATATCCGTCCACTGCTTCAGCGCTGCTCCAGTGGCATTTCCACCGATTATTACCTGCAATAAGTTCAATTATTAGCTTTTTCTGAAGTGCATTCCACACTCGTCGTGGGGGAGGAGTCAGACCTATCACTGTGCTTCACTAATTCGAGCGCCGTTTCACCTCACTATCTCGCGAAAGAAGAGCGCATCATTAAAGGAGGCCTGACTACACTCACAGGTCCTATTACAAAGAAGAGAGGGCCTTCTGAGAGAGGGGAAAACAATCGCAATTTGACGCATCAGTCGCGCGCGGCCTACCGTGCGGCGATGCAATCGAATTGAATTTTCCAGTTTCTTCGACGTTCGCTTTGAATGGCTAGGCAGGACAACTCGTCCATCGGACGCGGCGCCACTCGCCACGCCCACAAGTGCGGCATACTACGGTTGTCTTTGGTATAACCGCTCTCGCCAATGGGTAAAGCACAACAGTTGTATCAGCTCCTTCCCAGAAAACCTGCGTTGACCGCGTTAAAAGCTACAACTCGGTTT